GGGGTGGGGGGAGTTTGCTACCGGGGGGGAGTTTGCTACGGGGGTGAATTACGTCTTTATTTTGATGGAAGTTACTCCAGTAAATCTTGGAGCCCTCCTCATCCACATGCCGAATATAGCGCAGTACATCGTTGGAAAATGCCACCCCTTGGGACCCCACCAATTGAAGGCAGTGGCTGCTCATTCGGCAATGGACTTTACCCTAGTTAATTACAAATCGGGTGGGCGTCAAAAAGCATTCACGACGGAAATGGCCAACAGACATGGCCCAGAAGGTACAACGGCCAATGATGGTGAATCACATGCCGAATCACATGCCAAATCACATGCCAAATCACATGCTTATTCTAACGGTGGCAATCAGCCGTGCTGACATGCTTGAGTGCAGGCGCGTGTGTGTACCCGCTTATTTGAGAAGCACTGTCTCTCGCCAGGAAGCAGCCAAGCTTAAAACGACTGCCAAGCTTGTGGACCAGCTTTCCAACGTTCAAGGACTGCTTGCTTACCGCTCGCTTACTGCTTGCTTACCGCTCGCTTACCGCTCGCTTACCGCTCGCTTACCGCTTGTCCCAGAACATACAACACCCCCAGAACATACAACACCCCCCGCTCTGGGTAATAAGAATCCAAGCCGGGTTCTTCTCTGAATTCGTTCTCTCACCCGCACTGACAGATGCCCGTCTCACGTCCTAAACTTGGCGGGGTTGTTTCCGACATGCCGCTCGCTGTCTTGTCACGTAGGGTGAGGAGCTCCATCGTTGGTATCTCGTGGCGCTGAACTGAGCAAAGTTACACGCTACGTCCGAAGGGTTATTGATGTTCTGCACCAGTGCCCAGACGGACCAAAAGAAGTGGGTGAGCGGAGAGGCCGCCTTGATACATTCGACGAACTCGTCCACCAGGGCTTCAGTCATCAGATAGGGCCTGAAGGTCTCGTCCCGAACGTTTGCCAAGTTAACCACCAGGTTCATGAGCGCCTCACTCAGAGATCCATCTTCTCGGCACGCCCCCTTCGTTTGGCACTTCACGGTGCCATGGTTCAACGACAGGTCGTCACCGGAACCAGCAGACCCAGCAGCGGGAGTACCAGTAGCGGGAGTATCCGCTGCTTCGCTGGAAGCCGCAGTCTGTGCTGCAGGAGAAGCTGGTGTTTTCGCGGCGTCATCCCGCGTCCTTACTCGGTCTTCGCCTTGTCGGTCTTCGCATTGTCGGTCTTCGCCTTGTCGGTCTTCGCCTTTTCGTTCTTCGCCTTTTCGTTCTTCACCTTTTCCTTTTTGCTCTTCGCTTTCTCGGTCTTCGCCTTCTCGGTCTTCGCCTTCTCTGTTTTGCTGTAGCCCTTCGCCTGGCCCAGTCTCCTTGTGTTTGGTGTGTGAGTCAATTTTCAGCTGCGCCACTAGAGACGGCGCCAAGTTTGCTTGGGAGTCCTCGGCGCTTGGCTCTGAACTTGAGTGAATGGATTCGCCACTGCACGCGGTAGTGCTACCTTGCTGGTCCTCACCAGAGAGGAGATCATTGAATGCCTCTAAATAGGTCACGGCAAACTCCCTTACGTAGGCATCCGGATGAGGGAAGCGCCAATCTTCATCTGCGGTCTCTACTAGATGGTTAGCCAGATCATAAGCGTTGAAGCCCAGACTGGAGTACTCGTGGTCGATGAACTCGACGGCCAGCTCCTGACCTTCCACCGGCGTACCTCGTTCCAAATGATCCGTAAGAACTATATTACCGTTGAGCAGATCATTGTGGCATAAAACCTCCTTCACCGAGTAGGAACGACCAACTTGCTCGTAGAGCTCATAAAAAACTCTTAAGTCTTCATTGAGATGATGGTACTCAGAGTAGTCGTACGAAGTCAAGAAATTCACCCAAAACGTCAGACGCCGAACAACGTTGTTGTTGCCACCCTTCAGAAGCAGCCCCGGCACCTCGCCAGCCGCGACGACCCGCTTACCTGCCGGCAATTCACAGAGGGGCGGGCAGCCTTCCCCTTTACTCGTACCGGTTATGGATGCCCACACACTTGAGGCGCTCGTGTTTGTCGCACACGTGTTTGCCGGACAGATGTTCGTCGCACACATGTTCGTCGCACACATGTTTGTCCCACCTGCGGTTTCTTTGTATGGGATTGAATGGTCGCCTGGCGACGGCGTAGCCGTCGTCAGTTTGGCGAATTCAATAAGTTGGTCGGGTCGACGTGAATATTGATATTTAGTCCGGTGTAGTTTGGCCAAGTGCTGCGCGACAGCCCTGGTGTAGCAGCCGAAGTTCTTGAGTTCTGCGATGGTTACATTACGACCTGAGAGCCATTCGTCGATTTGTCCGTTACGGAAGTGATAGTAAGTAGATTTACATATAGCATTGCTCAATAAACTTATCACGTATGCTTCTTCCTCGCGATCGACGAGCTCGCATGCCTGCGCCCGATCAAAAAACCTTACACCTACTCCAGCGGTTAGCAGCGAACCGCCGCCGGGCACTCCTGATGAAGAGTCGCCTTTCAAAACTTGTCGTACACACTCCGCAAATTCGGTCTTGACCCACACCCTATACAGCACGTTGGTTATGCCTAAGCAAAACATCAGAACCGTCCATACCTGACTCCCACATATAATTGACTCCCACACATACCTGACTCCCACATACTTGAGATATACTCACACACTTTGAGGCAGTCACTTACCCCCGCTGATCTTCTGAGCGTCCAAATGCTCCTCCCGCACGGGGAACGGTTCCAACCAATGAAGACACTTGGCGATCGCGCGGTCCCTGAACTGCTCCTGAAACATGGAGACGTAGACAACATACCAACCATACGTACTTTTGCGATCTGGCAATCTGACTGTTCACCTGGCATTAGTTCGCCAAAAAAAATGATCGACTGGCGGCTCTCTGCAACTGGCTATTTTGTCGGACTCGGCATCATGCTCCTCACCTACTCTTTCCTCTACGCTACTCTAGTACGTCCCCACCCCGACTCCGTCCCGACTCCGTCCCGACTCCGTCCCGTCCCGACTCCGTCCCGACTCCGTCCCGACTCCGTCCCGACTCCGTCCCGACTCCGTCCCGACTCCGTCCCGACTCCGTCCCGACTCCGTCCCGACTCCGTCCCGACTCCGTCCCGACTCCGTCCCGACTCCGTCCCGACTGTGTCTTCCCCTCCTTCCCAAGGATCGTTATCCTCTCAGAAGACTCGAAAGGCAATCTGATCGGTCCAGTCTATCACCAGAGCTATTACCCTTCGTCGAAAAGGAAGTTGAGGTCGTCGATCCCACCCTTGCGGCTAGATCGACCGGCGGCTGCATTCGAAAGAACGCCTCTGACACACAAGCTATGAACCCCAGTCCCCAGTCAATGAAACCCGAATGAACAAGTGCCCATGTGTGTAACCGAGTGTATTATGCCACACACACACGTGTGTGTCAGGAGAACGTACTCGGATCTCCGTTCTTTGATTATGTGTAAATCTAGAATTTTAGCTTCGATGGAATTGCACATGTGGAGAGTGAATATGTAGACGGGCAGCGTCTGGCCAATGCGATGCACTCTTTGCATCGCTTGTGCCTCGGTCGCGGGATTCCACCAGCTGTCCAGCAACAAAAGGTAATTGGCCGCGACTAGATTAAGTCCCACTCCGCCGGCCTTGAGCGACGACAGCAGAACCACACCAGTGGATGTTTTACCGTCCAATTGATGGTCTATCGTTTCATCTACAACATCTTCAAACGTACATTTTACAGCCAAACTTCCGTTGGGTGCAACCGCATTGAAATCCACAGATTTAGGCACTGATTCCTGAACTGGGTCGGCCACAGGTTCCTTCGCCACAGGTTCCTTCGCCACAGGTTCCTTCGCCACAGGTTCCTTCGCCGCAGGTTCCTTCGCCGCATCTAGACCGACGGTATCTATAACAACTGTGTCTAAACCAACAGTGTCCGCCTCCATCTCCATGTCGGGAACTGTTGCAGAAGGAATGGGTGGAGGAGCTACCACATGGGTGATCGAGTCTTTGATGACCAAATCCTTGGTGACCAAATCCTTGGTGACCAAATCCTTGGTGACCAAATCCTTGGTGACCGAGTCAATACAGGGAGGTCTTCCGGTTGAGCTTCGGTGGTTCGGGTGGTTGAGAGGTGTTCCGTCTGGATTGCATTTTTCAGCGTGCTTCAAACCGGCCAGGATCTCTGACAAGGGCGGTACGGAAGTAACCGTCGGATTCCGAGCGCTGTTGAATTTTTCGATCTCTTCCAATCGCTGCTGTTTGGATAGTGAGCCGTCTAGTCGACAGGTGTTGAGCTTCAGCCGGGAGAGGCCTTCTTTCATGATGTCCAGTAACCCCGTCCACTGACTGAAGACCACCACATTTAAACCATTGGCTACGATCTTTTGACATATTCCCAAAGCACAGTTTAATTTTGGGGTCAATAATTCCTTCCATGTTAGCTGCTGCAGAGTCTTCTTCCAATTCGGTCCACCTTCGAATTGGCTGTACACATCACCTGAGTTCTGTACCGATGTCTCTACCGACTTATCTTCCGAACTATTTTGCAAAGTAGTTCCATCGGACTTTGAAATGGACCGTATGGTTGCATTTGTGTATGGGGCTCTACATAAGGCGCACGTTCCGTGATAAATGCGTCGCGCGGTGCCCGTAATCATCTTGAAAGCGCGAGCCAGCGACGCTGACGGAATGTGGGATATTATCTCGTCCGTAGACAACTTGCTTCCTAACGACAGGTTTACGCAAGCGATGCAGTACACATGCCCGCACGGCAAGACCACAGCTTGTTCTCTGCACATCAATGTGTGTTCCGGGCAATGTGTGTTATGGCAATGTGTGTTCCGGGCAATGTGTGTGCCGGGCTATGTGTGTCCATCGTGTTCCGTGTCATGTCATGGCAGATACTAAACTGTGATTGGTGTCATGATAATAGTTGTGTCCTGTTACATCGAGTCGAGGCATATTGGGCATCTGTTTTCTTTAAGACTTTCCGCTAATTTCTGAATATCCTCTTTGCTTAAAGAGTCATCTTCCTGAACGGAATGTGTAAGGATCAATATGGGATGGCAGCATAGTTGTCGTAGTCTCAGAAGCAGCAATAGCATGTTGGTATATTGTCGACCGATGGCGTTGGCTTTAGTTAGCTCTTGGAACGTGTGTTTCGCCTGCGAATACATGGTGAAATAAATGTCGGATAAACTCTCATCGAACTCCAGCCAAACTTTAACAACGTAACGAGGGGGTAGACTTACGATCGGGCGACCCGTGATAGTATCTATGGTTTCCCGCGTCCGGCGCAACATGAGGGTACGAACAACATTTCGTACTCGACTAACTTCCAAAGCAGAATGACTCTGGTCCTCCGTGCCCGCTCTGCCTCCCGCGGTCCCATATCCGGTCCCAGATCCGGTCCCAGATCCGGTCCCAGATCCGGTCCCAGATCCGGTCCCATATCCGGTCCCAGATCCGGTCCCATATCCGGTCCCAGATCCGGTCCCATATCCGGTCCCAGATCCGGGCTTTTTCTTGGCGGAGGTCTTTGTCGAGGTCTTGCCCACGAGCCGGTTCCACCAGATCAATTGATTCCAGGGTTGAGCCCCAACGAAGACTAACAGAGGAAACAGGTCGTCCAAATGGTTCTGAATAGGCGAACCGGTTACACACCATCGGTAGTCCGACTGCAGTGCACACACAGCTTTTGTGGTCTTTGCCAGCCGGTTCTTTATCAAGTGAGCTTCGTCAAGGATTATTCTTCGCCAGCGCTTGCCAAACAAAGGCGACGTACTAATGGGGGCCGGGAGTGCCTTGAGGGGCGGGTGTCCCTTGAGGGTCAGGCTGCGAGAATTTGCCGTCGGATCTGTCCGGGAACCGTGGTCGCTGCGGACCGTGCCGTAGGTAGTAATCACGACGTCGTAATCCCCCAGCTGGCGCACCGGCTTGTCCAGAGAGTGGTACTCGAAAACGCGTAGCGGCGCTAGAACGTGCCGGGTGCATTCTTCCCGCCATTGCGAGACCAGTGACAACGGTACGACCAACAAGTTGCCCTGTCCGGCCCTTGTAGAAGACTGGGAGGTATCCTGATTGACTACTCCCGCCCTCCCCTGATTGACTGCCCCCACCTTCCCCTGATCGACTACCCCGACCTGGTCGATGGGGGGTGTGGCTTTTTTCCACACTCCAGCTTCGGCTTCATCGAGGTAGTCGTTGCTAATTAAAGCCAGCATCTCAACGGTCTTGCCCAGGCCCATGTCGTCCGCCAGCAGACCACCGCAGGCGGATTCAAGACCGCCTGCGGGAGAAATCCGACTAAGGTGCCCGTTTACAAAGTTAACCCAGATGGAACGGTCCCGGTCCAACGCGAAAGAATCCCAGACCTCCTCCGGCTCCCCCAGCCCACTCCGCTCCCGCTCCAGCATCCACCATAACGCCTCCTCCTGGTAGTGCCGCAACGTGGACTTGAACACCGAACTGCAGGGCCACGCGGGCAGATCTCTCGTCTCCGTACTCATTGTGAACCCGAACACCTCGTCATTCAACTTGCGACTACTTCCGTCGTCTACTCCGGACCCTCCGTCATCCTCTGGGCGCTCCACAGCTTCGTCGTCCGCAGCTTCGTGGTCCGCTACTTCGTCGTCCACAGCTTCGTCGTCCACAGCTTCGTCGTCCGCCGCCGGAAGGTAGTTCACGACTTGGTCACCATCCACCGGGAGGTCGTCCACTGTGGCCGAGTGGTCCACTATTGCCATTCCGTTTCTGTACTGAGAACCAGAGCGCTTTTGCTGCGAATCCTCGACAAGTTGCCGCATAAGGCTCCTTTGCGCGATCGAGCCGATGGACCGGAGCATCCAGAGCAGACTCTGTCTCAATACGTCTCGTGCTTCCCAGGTTAGGCGGTTGCTCAAGCGCACACTCCAGATGTCCACGTTTTGATTTACGTAGACGCTGAGGACCACATCCAGGCTTGTGCCCATAGAGACGGTATCTGCCGCGTTGGCCGACGGCATAACGACGGCCGCTTTGAGTACAATGAGTCCAAGTCCGAGGAGCACGGTGAGGAACTTAGAGGGGTCCTGGTCGAGCCGCCCGATGTCCCGGCCCTGGACTACGCACCGGATTTGGGCACCGCCCCCTAACTTGGGCCAGTGCGTCCGTGTGCTGCCGTGCGCAAGTAGAATAAAGGCAGAGGCTGCGTCGTCCACGTTTTCGTAGCCCTGCTCCACGACGGTGGAGCACCACTCTTCAACACTGGCCGTCTTGTTCGCTGCAGACTTTGATCGCAACTTGCCAACAGACTTGCCAACAGACCGCTTGGGAGCGGTGCCTTTCGGTTCTTTCGGACTAAGCTTCCGGCCATTGGGGGGACCGGCCGCCGTCGACCCACTTGAACCGCCGAGTACACTACCACTACCATTGGCACGACTGCTGGTGGTATAAACGCCTGTTGCCTGTGGCTCACACGTTTGTATATTCAGGTCGGAAACACAGGAGGCAAAGGGGGATACCAACCGCTGAGTCATCCATACGTCATCTCCCGCGGGGAAGGACCTCGAGTACAGAGAGCCCTTCCGGCCTTTACACAATTTGGGAGGCACCGTAAGACTCACGTGCAAATCCAGGCCCGAGCTGAACGCAGACACAACCATAGAACCGTTGCAGCATACGGAAGTAGCCAGGTACCCCCACAAGTCGTACTGGAATCTGCCGCTGCTTTGACCCATGTCGTGTTCACCTGGGGAAGGAGTCCCATTTGGGGGGACTGTAGTCTCCAGGGCTGTTGACTCTCGGCGCTTCCTGTATTGGGCATCGATGGGGAGAATGGCACCCCAGGGAGAAGCATCCACTATTTCCACTATCTCCACCTCATTGTCAACTGCCAGCTTCTGATAGTGTGCCTCGATTACTGGGTCCAGAACTACCGGTGGATTTACTCGTCGCTTTTTTGGCATCCCAGAACCAATTGCATATGCACGAGAAACATGTGAGTGGAGAACAACAAGGGCTGACAACCCAGAACCGGAAGAGGCGAACAGTTACTATCTTTCAATGAAGAGCATAATACTGAAAGCTTACGAGAGCTAGAGACCATTCATCATACAGAGAGAGCATTCATTCTACAGGCGAACGATACCTATACTGGAGAGACCTATACTGGAGAGACCTATACTGGAGGTATATATACTGGAGAACGAGGACAATCGTACCGTTAAAAAGGAAGGTCATGTCGAAAGAGCATTCTGGTTGGCGAAAGAGCATTCTGGTTGGCGAAAGAGCATTCTGGTTGGCGAAAGAGCATTCTGGTTGGCGAAGGAGCATTCTGGTTGGCGAAAGAGCATTCTGGTTGGCGCTCTCGCTTTGTTGGTAGCAGCGGCGACTTTAGCTAGCACCAGCACTGGCGAATGCTAATGTTAATTCGCAGGGGGTTGGCGGGGTCCACGGGGTTTTCGTCGGCGAGCAGCATGTCCCGGTCGCTGGGTGTGTGATTGCCGAGTTGATAGTTGAGGAGCCGAGGCACGCCATGGTAGTTGCATCGGGCTTTGTTGCCCATGACGAGGATGTCTCTGGCCCGCAGGACGATAGCGGTGGGTTTGCAATCGCGGTTTGGCCCTCCGAAAAGGAAGAGGGCGGCCGTGCCCAGTGACAACGTGACCAATGGCATGCCTTTCGCCTTCTCCACGTCGTCGCGGTGGCCGCGCAACCGGTCACCTCCCATGTAGTAGTTAACCAATGCACAGTCCGGCGAGAAGCGTCCCCAACTGCAACAGCAGTTACTCATACTTGTCACATCTTGGTCCGCAAGGACATCCTGGTCCACAAGGACGTCTTGGTCCACAAGGACGTCTTGGTCGTTCGGTTTGAGACAGACGCAGGCTGTTTTGGCTTTTATTTCGTTTGCGACGGTCTGAGCGAACTGGGCAAGGGAGGGGGGCAGCGCAGCTGGGGGCTCGCTTTCGTAAGAGCGGGCCGTCCAATCGTAGCCGACGCCCAGACTGCACCAGCGAAGGCGGGGTGCGCGAGTGAACTCCGTGGCCGGGTTGAAGCTGGCCGATATGTCGCCTTTGTTTGTGTTGTGTTCGCACACGAGCGGGTAATTCAGCAAAGCCTGGCGCCACTGCTGCTTCGCAAACTCCACCGTGCTACCCTCCGGAATGTAATATACACCCTCAGCCAACTTGTACACTACCCGGCCGTGGGCCAACCCGGCGCCCCCCGTCGTAACCCCCGGCATCGCTTTCAACCCTCTCGCCTCCAACTCTCTCGCCTCTAGCTTTTCTGCCTCGGCCGACAACAGTCCGTGGAAGTCGACCAAAGGCACGTCTCGGAGCTCGGCGTTCCGCGACCCGCGAATATAGGTGTCCACTTCCTTGTAGATGTCGCCTACGCAGCTGCTGGCTGTGCTGCCTCGACGGGAGGAGTAGTCCGCCTCCGACTCCATTTCCGGCAACCAGAAATACTTGCCGGCCCCAACACCACTATGTCACGGCAGCTGGTGAAGAGTTGCAACCCAGCTTGTGTGTCTGGACACCCACCCTGTTTGCTCAGACGCAGAGGGAGTGTGTTTGCAGCCGGTCGGAACCGAGCCGAATCGGTTGGCGAGAAATAGCACAAAGTTCTTTCTAAAAATGGTATCGCAGAACTAGCCGCAGAGCTAGCTGCTTCTATAAAAATTGACATTTCTAGGTCCGTTTTCCGAACCGGTATGGGTCCGAACGGAGTTGCGTCGCTGGCGACAGGCAGGTCAGGCCCGTGGCTCTCAAGTTCTTGGCGGCTGGACACGGGCTTGGGTCCCATGAGGCTTCAGGATCCCGTGGGGATCCCGTAAGGAGAGTTGCGTTCGGCGGGGCTCAGGATCAAATGGCGGCAGGTTTAGTACCCGGGAGGGAAAGGGTTGACGGCGTTGGGTACTGCGGTGAGGTCAGCGAAGGTGTGGTTGACTTCACGGTGGTGAGCTTCGTCGGCTCGGATGCAGTCCCAGACCTCGCGGAGCGAGGCGTCATCCGGTAAGTTCCAGTAGGCTCTGGCGGCACGGGGGGCTGGTATATCGAAACCAGGAAGTTTGCCAGTGTCTTGTAGGTGGAGGAGGTGAGTGTAGGTTTTGACTGCCTCTTCTTCGAGGTAGCCGACAAGGCGGTGGCAGAAGCGTGGGGAGAGCGCGTACATGGTGGTGTACCAGGCGAGGAAGAGTGCCTGTGCGGCAATGACCGCAGCACGTACAATTTTGGAGGGTTCATGCAGCAGCAGGGCCGTCATAAGGTGCATGCGCTCGTTCTCGGCCTCCTCAAGCAATGAGTGAATGAAGCCGTAATCGTTCCGCATCCGGCGTAAACTTTTTAGGTGACGTAGTGCCGCACCTACCATGCCCGGCACGGCTGCCACGGTCTCCAGAAACACCACGCGACGAATCATGCACGCTTCGTCCTTCACTCCAAACGTGTACCCCGTCGCCAGGTCGAAAACACGGCGCAGCACCCAAATGGTCGAGTATGCTGCCCGGTCCACCAACGTCTCCGGCTTCGTATGCTCCACTCCCACCGCCTCTCGCTCGGCCTTGGACCACGCGGGGTGCGGCAGACGAACGTCCACCTCCCCAATGCTGTTGCGCGCGGCGTTCCGCCAGTGCACCGAAGTAGGCATCATCACTCCACTATCCGCCGAACAACCGTCCAGATCGCTACACATGTGCACCGGCGGCGTCCACACCGCAGCCGCCGTGGCCGCCCCGCGCGCTCGGAGGGTCGCTAGCGTCTTCAGAGGTCGATTCTTCAAGAGCATCGGTCAACAAAAAAAAAATCGCACGTGTGTGCTTTCGGTAGAGATGGCAGAAACAACCCTCACAACCGACATCCTCGACGCCCGACTGACCCGCTGCAAGACGCCGAAGGCCGTGATTGAGTCTGGAGCCCTCTTGGACTTGATCGACAGTCATTCAAAAGAACTTTTCAGTGTATTCGCGGAGCATGATGGGTTCGAGATGCTTTGGGCCTACGAGGACAAGGAAGCCACCCTAGATTTCCTAATAGACATGGCACTAGTACTCGTAAATTCATGTAAGCACCAGGGCTGGCATTAGTACCCCGCTAGTACCCCTCTAGCACCGCGGTAGTACCCTTCACTCCCTTACCCGGTTTGGGGCGCTAGCAATCTGCGCGCAACATACCTGCCCAGTGGGCAGTATGCAGTGAGTCGTGCATCTTTTATAGTTGACGAGCGGCTGGGAGTAATGTCGGCCTTGGTGTACTATCTGTGTGACCGAGACTCATACTCAATCGACATCCAATGGGCTTGGAAAGACGCGAAGCGTATGAGCCAGTTTCTTCTCTGGGTTGAGGATGTTTTGCAGGTATCCTTAGCCCAGCAGACTTCAGGGGAACGCGGCGAGACGTCCAGGAGTGATGTGTGCTGGTTGGTAAAATGTTTAAGTTTGTTGGACGTGGTTTTGAGCGACTACCCGCCTGCCCGAGTGACTCCTTTGATGTGGGAGTCGATGTTCCGCCTCATTCCGACACTCCTACGGGCTAGTGAGGCCCTCACCGCCGGCGGGTGCCACACCGGAGTTCGACAGCAGACCACAGGCCGGGGATCGGGCACAACAATTAGCAATGTTCTCAACTCCATATGCTACTTCGGTCTAGGTCTAACGTTTAGAGAATACGTCAGGGATTACATCACCATTTCCGACAGGTATCTGACTCTACCGAAGGACACACGCTGCTCATGCAAGTCTTGCGACCTTATCCGAGTCGGTAGAAAGGCCATAAAACAACGCGATGAATTCCCGATTCCACAAAACGCGGGTACATACTTATCACACCCGACCTAACACCCACTGAACTATATCCTTTCCTTGCACACACGCGTGGGGCACCACTAAACTATATTACCACTTGTACCATCACCCCTCCTATGACCACTTGCGTGCTAGCTCTTGCACACATCCATGTCCCGTTTATGTGGTAAGTGTTCATGTTTAAAGTACACGGTGTATACGAATGGTTACATCAGAATACGCACGGAATGTTCTACCGTTGCTCAATAATGAAGGCATACTAAGTTCCATCCTCAATTCAATTCTCAGCCGGGATGACGAACCCGTGACGGATGAAGCATTACATTCGATACTATCGATCAAGTTTATGTACGACTTGTGTAACCAGAAGCTCCATATCACTTCGGGTCTAAGGGACCTGTATTTACGTTTAATGTTTACCTCCAACAGCGGTGAAGGTACTTGTGCAGCCCACGAGAATTCCGCCGCTGTACGCGAAACGCAAGGAAGTACAAAAGACGCTCACGGAGAGAGCCACAAGCCGGCGAGCGGCTCTAAAGAGAGCCACGCCGGACTGGAAGGTTCTATCCAAGTAGAGGGAACTATTTTGCGTGACCTCGCTACCAATCATGACAATTATATCGCTGCAAATCCCGTAGCTGCGAATCAACAGCGGCTACCCAACGTAGGCGACCACTCGAAGTCCAGCTTCGCCCTCGACGGGGAATACAGTGATTCTCACCCTAGAACTGGAGACTCTCACCCTAGAACTGGAGACTCTCTCCCTAGAACTGGAGACTCTCACCCTAGAACTGGAGACTCTCACCCTAGAACTGGAGACTCTCACCCTAGAACTGGAGACTCTCTCCCTAGAACGGGCGATTCTCGCCCAGCGAGTGACAGGCAAAGGGATCGAGGTGGTCAGGAAAAAAACGGAGATAGCGAAGAAGGAGAACAAGCGGCAGCATCCATCGGGGAAGAGCGTGGGCAGCAGGTTATTAGAGTGTATGAAAGAGACTACAATATTCGGTTAGGTGGATTTCCTCCAGGCATGACCTTCCTTTTATCGGAGATGTGGCATCAGCAACAGTGCGGAATGGGTGTGGCGGATGATCTTTTACCTCTAGTGTGTCGCGATGTGTGCACTCTTACGGAACTCCCGCCGCGGCGGTTCTGGTACAGCTTCATTTGTATCCTCCAGCAAGCCTACCAAAACTCGTTACGACACCGATCCTCGTACGCCCCCTCCACCTCCACCTCGACCATGCCCACAACAGCTGACAGCTCGCTTGACCAAGCTGGCAGCCAACCCCCCTCCCGCAGTGAGCTCTGTTCCAGTGCTATACAAGACCTTGAACCCGCTCTCGAAGACACCGCGACGACTGCCCCAACGGCGGAGACAAACCCAACCACGGACCTACAAGCGGCCCTCACATATCGTAAGCAATTGAGCTCAGATGACTCGAACTACCCAATCATACAAGACTATTCAACCCTACAAAACAAACTTTTATCGCCTGATGAATTGACCTGTACGTGGGAATGCGGGCTTGCCAGACTTGTGGCCCAAGCAATCGAACGACTGGTGAACCTGCTTCAGGCGTTCATCGACAATAACCCTAACAAAGTGAATAGCGAGCATATGCAAGTACGCGACACGGTCGACACACACACACACACTGTGGACACACACACTGTGGACACACACACTGTGGACACACACACTGTGGACACACACACTGTGGACACACACACTGTGGACACACACACTGTGGACACACACTCTGGCGGGCTCTGTCGGTGTAACATCGCATACATGGACATTCGTTTCGTTATTTTCGCAGAGATCAATGTTCTATCTTGGCATCTGCGTTGGGATCGTGTGTGGAGTGGGAGAGTATAGTCGCATTCCGGAGCAACGCCGGTTAGTGGTTTTGCCAGCCGGGGGCGCCTGCGGACTCTTGACGAACGAATGTCGCGAAATGACCAAGTTTCGATCGAGCTGCTGGGCCACGGTGCTGCTGTACAAGACGGCCCTGCTGCGAGCAGAACAAGCATCAGGTGTCCGTCTGGCACTGCTGCTCGACGATTGATTTCATTTTTCGCACTGGATTATGTTTGTACTGAGTGCTCTCAACAGCCGTGCAGGTCGTCCCATTAGTGGTAGTTAGTGTCAGCTAGTGGGCTTGGGTAACGGGTTTGGGTGGCGGGTTTGGTCTTTTATGTTTCCAATACAGAATCGTCGAAGCAGTGACCAGGTATTTTTACTGACGGGGGATTCGCCGACGATTGAGCAGCTCGTGGCGAATGCCCGCGAGGCGTCTTGGGAGGAGCCGGTGAGTGCTGCGACAAGTACGGTGACCAGTGCAGAGCATGGGTTTCGAACCCGGGTAGAGGAGGTTCGGCCACGGGTACAAATTGGTCATGATTTATATGCAGCGGAGAAAGAGATTACCGATTATCGGCTGCACATTGTGGACCTGCCTGCCACTCGAGATGGGGAGAATTCACCACCCGACGTGCTCGGCAAGTTGGTCGCCGGCATCGAGTACCTACGGACACTCGCACCCATGGTCTGCGACCTACGCAGCTTGCGGAGACTTATCCAAAACGAAACCAGGACCAAGTGGCGACCCAAACGCAAGGAGACCAAACATGGAGGAGACCTCAAGCAAGGAGGAGACATCAAACAGGGAGGAGATCTGAAACAGGGGGGCGAGACCAAAACGGCCGAGCTCAAGCTCTCCACCATCAACCTGCCGGTGCTCGAGCAGCTGGTCAGGCTCGGACCTGTCACCACGTCCCGTTTACTCTGCGAATGGCCCACGCTGGTCGTATCCGTCGCTACGGGCCAAAATGATCTCGGCGGTATCGACGAGGAAGGCCCGGGTGTTTTGAGCAAAGTGCTCCCGCTAGACGCCGTTCACGACGTGCTCTTCCTCGCCAAAAGGTTCCGGACCGAACTAGACGACTTGTTGAGAGACAACCACCACGAAAACCATCATGACTTTAGTATGTTCTCCGCCCTCTATGTCTGGCAGCTCATCTCTCAACACACTGAGTGGGCACCCTTCTACCTCAAGGAGAACAACGACGAGAACGACGACGATGCTGTGACAATAGGAAAGGGTAAAGACACTCCCATCGTCAGAATACACTCCGGTGGTCATCACTCCGGTGGTCATCACTCCCGTGGTCAGCACACCCGTGACCATGAACAACCGTGACCATGAACAACCGTGACCATGCACAACCGTGACCATGCACAACCGTGACCATGCACAACCGTGACCATGCACAACCGTGACCATGCACATGCGGGACACACCGGCGTGCGCCATCTATGTCTTGCTGTAGAGATTTTGAACAACGCTTTCTGCGCATATCAGCTTACTAGGTTTATTTGCATTTCCGTCAAGTGTGGTTTTGACAGTGTGATTGACTATTACAATTCTTCTTGCGACCATCCAATCAGTTACTACGAAATGCTGATTGGTATGGTGCGAAAATTTGATCCTAACCGGCTCACGATATGCAAGCAAATGGGATCTAGGCTCTCGTACTCGACGATAAAATATGCGGCCCTGCTAATGTTCGGATTGAGCTATAATACGGAGCATAAAATACATAGTAACCTTTCACGTCAGAATACTACCAGCGAAAGATTTGTTTATTTTTAGATATAGATTTGATCAGACTTACACAATATGAGCGTTTGAAATGTGACGTTGGAGATTGCTATCCTTTGGAGCACAGTTTGTTACCGATTCAGAAGCTTTCTGACTATGTGAAAAATGTGGTGGATAAGACTCCTATTTTAGTGGATGACATTCCTCACAGTGAGTTGGGAACTGCATTTGAGAAGTTACGTAGCCTGGCAGTGAGTGCTTCGGGGACAGGGTCTGAAGGTCCGCATGACATTTGGTTTACTTACAATACAAACTTGTTTTATTTGAATGCGATTGTACAGCAAACGATGAAAGGTGAATTGAGTCGTAAGAATTTATCTCTTGTATGGCGTGTCCCTGGTTGTCAGGATCCGACCACGCATTGGATCGCTATGTTCTCATCGGGGTTCGCGTTTCCCGTAGATCTGCCCGCTACTACACTTGATTATCTCGACGAAAAAGGTGACCTGACCTGCAACCTTCAAGACTTGGCGGACGGTGGCCCGCGAGAGACCTTCGTGGTCCATTGCAGACAACAGGAACTTAACTGGGAATCGAACCAGCGACTGAAGGAATTGTTCCGGATGAAAAATGGCTGGACCAAACTCGAACTGTACGCCTGGCTCAGCCGCTGCATGCTAAGCTCCAACTCGCCATCAATCGACGAGCTCATCTCCAGATACCTCCGTGCCGTACCGGGCACACCCAACGCCCACGAAAATCTCATGCTGCATGTAGAGAAGTTCGACCCTCTCTAAGGCACATGTTAGATGTGGCACACGCACGTGTGCAAAGAAATGCGTGTGACCCAAAACACAAAGGGGATGCGGCCACAGGCTGCAGCAACAGTGTGCGCTGCGCTGGGGTGAGCGAAGAGACTTTATACGCACACAACTGTACAGGCATATCAGTCACTGTATCGACTTTATACAGTGACTTTATAGACATACACGGTTCAAAACACACGACCAGCGGCCCCACCAAGTCGTCGTCGTGGCGGGTGGTATGCGTTGTGGCGGGTGGTATGCGTTGTGGCGGGTGGTATGCGTCGTGGCGGGGGGTTTCCGTCGGGTCGGTGGTTTCCGTCGTGGCGGGTGGTTTCCGTCGGGTCGGTGGTTTCCGTCGGGTCGGTGGTTTGCGTCGGGTCGGTGGTTTGCGTCCCCAATAGTCCGCTTTAGCGGTTGTCAGCGTGGTGGGTGGTCAGCGTTGTCTGGGGCTGTTGACTCTGTAGATGCGGACCATGTAGGAGGAGGTGGTGTATGCCTCGGTAAAGTGTTTGAGGGGGAGTGTTTTTGGTATTTCGGATGCGCGTAATATATCTTGTCCTTGAGTTTGTTGGTTCCGATGGAAGTTGTGATATGAGAGAAGATACATGAGACTGGATCGTAGAGTGGGTGATGCTTGTTCGCCTACTTCGTAGCCGCCGGTGTATGGCGACATGAATTCTTCTTCCGTGGGGCAATCAGGAAACTCGCGACTGGCGATGCGAATAATCCAAACAAACTTATTAAGGTCGTCGCCGCTGTAGCGCGTTACGCCGCCGAAGAGCACGAAGACATAGTCCGCATCCAGGCTCTGTACGATGTCATAAGCCTTGTCCTGATCGCTGGCCAGAGCCAGTCCCACTGTCGCAATATGTGTCGTGTTCCATGTGTTGTTGTCCACAATCACCGAACGATCAGCCATGTACGCAGCCTGGTACCCATAATCCCACCATGACAACAACTTACTCTCCGGGTGAGTATTCTGAGCCATCCACTGAAACGCTTCACGCAAATCGTCAATCATCAACGTACCTCCATTACGCAACTGCGCCGCTGTCACAATCGAAGGATTCGAATACAACGCCGCCGCTGAAAACACACCCAACGTGACCACCCGAAACAGCACCAATAAGACGAAGGCCACAACTCCCACTGCCACACACTTGTTCATCTTCAGCACCACAACTTCGCCCGTAGTGGTACCACTCGCCAGTGTGCCCTTCGCCGTAATCTTCGTCGTAGTCTTGGCCGTAGTCTTGGTGGCAACACTGGCAGTGGCCGCAACACTGACGGTGGCTGCATTATTGCCTGCAGTATTCGCCGCCTGCCTTTTGTTCTTCCGGAGTTTCCTGCCGTTGTCGTACAATTTGTTCTCATCTTTCTCCGCCGGTAGAGTGGTTGTTGGTTGCGTCCTTGCTTCTTGCGTCCTTACTTCTTGCGCACTTACTTCTTGCGTCCTTACTTCTTGCGCACTTACGTCTTGCGCACTTACGTCTTGCGTAGATGACGCCTGCCTGTTGCAGTCTGCGGTCTGCTCGTTGTCGTCTGCGATTGACTTGTCTTGGTCAGATTGGATCGTCTTGAGTGTATCCGCGCAGTGTGCGAGAGTGTGTGCGATGGCGACTCCGGCGGTGCAGGCGTAGGCGGGCGCAAGGACGAGGGTGAGGCGGATCATGACTGCAGAGAAATATGCGGCGAGTACGGCGTAGACTCCGAGGAACCAGAGGTGTTTGCGTTCATTCTGGGCGAGAGCCAGGAAGATGCCGACGGGACAGAAGACGAAACCGGGACCGAGCTCCGTGTGAAAGACACTCCAAATTGGCGGCTGGTGCTCCGAAATGCTGGCGATGATCGGCACGTTCTTGGTTGCGTAACTGGGGTCTAACAACGTCATCGATCTTCCACTGAAGCGAGACCAACCTCGACTCACGACCAACACGGCCAGCGCCGTCAGACCTCCGAAACACGCCGCCAACACGGTCCGCCTGGCACCCAGAAGCGAGCGACATAGCTCTGAGTTCTTCATGAACATTTGCAATTGCATCAACTTCCAGACGGCCAATACCACAAAGACCACATGAGAACTCAAATGCTCTGCACTCTTGACCGCACCCACACCAACAAAGGGGATGTTGAAACACCACATGGTACCCAATGTATACCAGCCCATATAAGCCAGCCACATCTTATCATCAAGACTGTTGATTGCCGTCACACACAACACGTATCCCGCCACACAGTTAGTTATAAACACGTAGCCACCCCAAACCGTGACCATGTAAAAGTAGGCCAGACATGCCAGCACTACCGAAGCCAAATTCCCCTTCCGGCAGGCTCGTAGAAATGTATAGAATGATAACACCATAGTGAAAATCGCAATCGCCTCATTGTCGAACCCACCAGCCGTTGAACGACTCAAATACGATGGACATATGGCAATAATCAGCGCCGCAAACAACCCCGCCGGCACTGAGTTCGACGCCTAAAGCACCCCACAGTATGGTTGGGGAGTGCACAGGACGTAGAACATGGGTGTACAGACGTCCCATGTTCTACACGTGCGGGAAGTGCGTGGCAGGTTGTGTCTAAGTAGCATACGACGGTAGTGAGTTTGTATGTGGCGAATGCAGTGCCCATGGAGAAGAGAGGAGCCGTGAAGACACACACTTCGCGAATGTCCAGCATAATGCCCGCCTTCTGGGCCAAGTTCCAAAGCACAGTCGCTGTAATCATAAGGCCGGGGAAAAGGGTCTGGCCAACAACACGTCCCAGAGGGTACCAAGCCGACTCGTCGAACCAATTCCAGAACTCATGAAAGCCATGGTCTCGCAAGTACTTAGTCGTTCGGTAGTTGAAGTAAGGATCGAACTCATGAATGACCGACTCGAAACGAAGGACACTAAATACACGACATCCAAAGGCCAGCAAACATACACATGACAACGCCGACCACTTTATATATTCCTTCATCCACAAAAAAGCCCTTCCCCCCCCCCCCCCGGACACCCATCTTCGGGACCCCCATCTTTGCTGGCAGCCCTTAGCCGAGAAACTCGTCCCCAGAAGTTCATCCTCTGTTCACCATTTTATTGCCACTGCCCTTAGGATTCGCATCTTTCCAGTCATCCCATTCTCGTGCTTTCCTTTCCTTCGCGTCTTCGTCTTCATCGTCGGAGTCCTTCTCCATGCTTCGCTTCTGCGCAGCACCCAACGTGTGAACGTCTTGCTCGATTTCTTTTTGCACACACTCCGCTATGGTCATTGTTGGAGGAGCGAACGGCGCTTGAAAGACCTGCTGCGTGTACAACCTATGCAGCTCACTCTTGTCACTCTAACACACATACCATTTACGACTCCCACCCGGTTTATTCGATCCCACGTGGGCGATCTCAATCAAGATTCGATGTGTATGATTCGACTTACAATTTTAATAATACATGGTTTTCTTGCCGGTTGCTTGCCGACCGGATTGCTGACGACCGGGTTGCTGACGACCGGATTGCTGTCGATGGGATTAACGTTGCGGTTCATTTCTCGTATTATGCTAATTTCGGCGTCAAGGAGAGGTATCTCGGAGACAGCTGAGTGGAGGGAAAGTTCGATGATGTTTAGCCATAGTTCTCTGGTCATTTCTTCGTCGTCGTCTTCGAGAGCGTTTTCCTCCATTTTGGACACCAGGTCTTCGTAGTTTGTGCACTGTTCGGAGAGTGCGCACAATTGCTGTGCTTGTTTGGCGAGAGCTGGAGGACATTCAATGGTTCTTTCCAGAGAGTCCATGGCTTTCCGTCTTTTTAGCACTTTGTCTCGGGACTTCTCGTTGGCCTCGCTAAGTTCCGCGCTCCATTGTTCAACTATGCGATCGTCACCATATCTCGTCGCCGTCGTCTCGACGTAGTCCCGGAGTCGATGTCTCGCTTCGTCTAACAGCAGTTCCCGCGACACACTCCCCTTCACATTCATCATCCCCATTGCTGCTAGATAGTTGATCAATACGGACGGCAGATCTACAGTGTGCATTTCCTCCAATGACTCCGTCACCGATGCAGAACCACACAAACGTGCCACCAAAGCCTCATCACTTTCGACCCCGAGGACCTCACGCAATCTTGGAGTATACTGCAAGATATTCAACCCTTTTATCTGCGACAAACGCCACTTCTCATTCCAGTCACACACGGCGACCAGCACATACGGATCCATCATGAAAAATCTACGCCGGGCAACCTAAGGGGAGTTTAAATTTGTACTGGACCGGGGACTCATCACTTAATGCAAAAGGATTGCGCTATTGTGATTGAGAAATATTTATGTGTGGTGCGCGGTTCTTTGCTCTAGCCATGCGCAGCTCAGTCAATGCGAACAAAGGGGGCGAGTTGTCAACAGGGTCAGTAGCGATCGTGTGTGTCAGTGGTACTGGAGAATAATAAAAAAAAAGGGTTAACAGCATGAGCTCAACAGCTCTCCCAGCTTATGCTGTCCGGTTCTCTGATCGATCTTGGTGGTAATCTCTGCGTGGGCTGAGCAAGGGTAACCTAAGTGTTCGTTGTGGCTGTAGCCTCTCATCTTCCGGGGCAGGTGCACCGAGTAGCTTCACATCTGCAGTCCTTGACTAGCCTCTTGCGCCGCATGAACAAGTCGCGCAGAACTCGAGTTTCGGGCCTGCACTGCACCTTGTCCCTAAGTCTGCCGTAGCGTCCGTATGGGCGCATTCTGTTGCCTTGGATCTCGGTAACTACGTAGGGTAGCGACTAGTGGCCTAGTATCTCTCCATTCTGACCTTACCATGGATTGCAGTTTCGACGGGCTCGACCATGGTGCTTACGACTAACACCTCCCAGCTCGAAGTCTTCGCCTTTCGCTGTCGGTGGTTTGGTGAGCACCAGGGCATGTTTTACGGCGCTCGTCGCCTCGAGTAGGTTGGTTATGATGAACCTTTATCCCACGGAGTGAGATCCCTCTTGTGACCATCCGGGTAGCATGGGCTCTCTGCCGGTTACGACTAACATCGGAGATCTCTTAGTGGCGCTGTCGATTGTTATGTTGTAAATGTATACCGCGTGGACTAACAATAGCGTCAAGTCGGAATGATTATTGGTCTTAATGTATCTTGGAGATACATTAAGACTCCTGGAGAGTGCGGTGATTCGATTCGTTTAGTTGAGGTAGGTGTGGTGGGGCGTTGATGTGTTTGACTTTCAGCATGGAAGTCACGTAGTGGTGGAAGTCACCTTTGAACTCTGTTCCGCTGTCCGTGTATACTTCGAAGGGTATCCCCAACGCTCCTACTACACTTTCTGCAAACAGGTTGCGCGTTACCACAGCCGTCTTCGCCAACGTTACTCTAGCTACGATGTAGCGAGTCGCGTGGTCTATACACACAAGGATGTAGTATTCCTGCCCTTGGCATGCTCTAGGGCCCACCTAATCCATGCTTAATCTACTCATGAAGAAGGGCTGCTCCAACGTGCCTTCGAACAGTCCAAAGGGGTGCAGAACGCGGGGAACAATTCAGAACCCCCAGTTACAGTTGAGAGCAATATAGTGGGAATGGCCGGGCGCCTTTTGGAGGTTATCCCAGAGGAGGGGAATAGGGAACGCGTCATCAAGCTCCTGCTTATTGACTTGCCGATAGTCTATTACGACCGGTAGTCGTCGGTATCTTTAAGATTACGAATGGACGAGAGCTCCACGGCGATTTACTCGGACGTATGACGCCTTTTGAAAGCTGGGAGTCTACCTGGCGTTTGAGCTCTTCCTCAGCGGCCCGCGGCAATGGCATCAGCCTCACTTTCGTCGGTCGGTTCTGAACCTGGAAGTTTGTCTCATATCTCACCTGCCCACTCATCGGGCTCGGGCGTAGGAACGCTCTCTTGTTTCTCTCCAATACTTCCCACAGCACGACGAACTCTGTCTCATTCAGATGCGGTGCACGCTTCCGTACTCCATCCCTAGTCTCTCGGAGCAGCTCCTGGTCTGTCAGCGATTCGTCTACGCCTGATACGACATCCGGGTTAGATAAGGACACCCCTCTGGCGACATTGTCTCTACCGCAAACGGCGAACGAAGCAGCACACCTTTGCGGGATTGGGGCGCAGACACAGCAAGGAGGACTGAACCGGTTGACGTAACGGTGAGAGACCGAACCCGCTTAGCTGTATCCCAAGCTTACCCAAGTTGGTGAACTCATTACCACCAGATAGTCACTCGTCACTAGGTGTGTCCTCCTCACACGCCGCTACGTCCGCTCTGGCAGCTTCTGCGTCTATCCGGGTGTGACCGTCTCCGCCCGCTTGTCTCACTCGGCGCTTGTCATTGCGCTTCTGGTTGACTTGCAGTTGGCGCTGGAGATTGTCGTGGGCAAGACTGTTGAGGGACTTGGCCTTGTCGACGGACGTCCTGTCCTGAGGCATTCTTATGTTGATGGTCCCGGGCGGTTGTCCACGGCTATTTCCACTCGCCCTTGCCGCTCAAACTTCCTTACGGCACACACGTTTTCGGTATGGCCCTTCCTGCCGCAATTTGCGCAGAACAACTGTCGCTTCAGGTACTCGCCTTTCCAATGACCAAGTTGGCCGCGCGCTCTGCATGGTCGGTTGTCGAATCTCCTTCTCTTCGCAGCTCCGCTTGGGTCACGGCAACCGCTGCCCGCGTCTTGCACCGGGTAAGCGTCAACTATTTGTGCTGTCACGACCGGTGCGAGCTCTGCGTCTCTACGCGCGGTTAGAGGCTTGAGGGTGTACAGGGCTTGAATAAGCTCCAGCGGCCCGTCATACGTCATCCTTTTCGCGTTGTACCTGGCGCTGGTAGGGAGGCATCACAACACGTCGCGGCACGCCCAGCGCTTGCAGAACGGGAACTCCTCGTTCCAGTGTATGCACAACCTCGCAAGTATTTCGAACTGCTTCGTCACGCTGTGGTCAATGTCGTGGTATGACGAGAACTGTCCTCGCGCTAGGATGTCGGCGGTCACCTCCTCTATGTACAAGCTCGCTGGAAAGATGGCTCGCACGGTCTTGTCGATGACCTGCTTGAAAGCCGACGCTTCTATGCGGAACCTCTGGAGGCGTTGCGGAAGGGTTGGAGCTTGCAGTCACGTACGAATGCTTTCCACCAGTGCTCGTCTGGGGTGCTAACACTACCCAGGTCGTCCACCAGTGAGTTGTCAACAGGGTTGGTCGTCGTGTGTGTCAGTGGTCCTGGAGAATAGTCCAAAAAAGGGTTGTCGAGGTGCGGGGGCTAGGACCTAGCAGCACGAGCCCGGTTCGTCACGACGGCTCAGGGGAGCTAGGCAAACCCGCTTGGGTTTTCGGCTACGGTTTGGTCCGTTCCAGAAAGGAGTGCCGGGGCCGGGGAATTAAATATCGTTCCGATGTCGTTGCGCGACCTGGAAAGGGAGTTGGTATCGGAGAGGCATTGGACCCTGCGGGGTGAGGTGACTTCGACGGAGCGGCCGCAGGACTCGATCCTGGAGGAGGGTGCTTTGGAGTTCCGGACGAGCAGTCGGGTGCACAACGATGCTGTGCAGGTGGACGAGGAGACCGGGGCGAGAGTGGAGCGAGATGTGGACAGCATCATTCTCAGTATCATCAAGAAACGAGTCGGCATGCGGCTGTACGACGACGTGGACGTCCAGACCATCGTGACTGATGAGAACGCGGCAGACGCCGACAAAACCACGCTCAAGGAAGTACTCGACTCGGTCGACATCAGCAAGCCCACCAAATCGCTAGCCGAAGAGTACGTCGGAATGGTCGTAACAGATACTGGCGCCACCATCAACGTCCAGGAAGCTGAGAAGAAAGCACAACAACTCTGGAACGCGCTCTCCCATAAACTCGACCAATACTGCATAGGCTGAACATACACACACAGGTGCGCTTCTGCTGGCGCACGTCGCTTAGCACACACGCGCGCTAGCATAAGCGTGCCCTGTCACACACGTATACTGGTACGCGTGTGCTGGGGAGGCAAGGCATCATAGGGCTGCCGGCGTCCCGCCCTTTTGGGAGCTGCTTGTTTAACGGAAATAGCCTCAAGCATAGTTCTCCAACAAAGCTCCCAATGCGCCAGATTATATAAGGAAAACCTGTCTGTGTGGGTATACGTGGGCCTGTGGTACTCCAGACAACCGTGCGTGATTGGGGCAGGCAGCTGGTGGCGCTTTGATTTTTTTTGGTTGCAACTTGTGTTGCACACACAGTGCTATGGCAGATCCAAAAAAACTTAAGCCTAATGTGCTGCTGTATGTCAGCGCTAAGCCTAATGTACTGTTATTTGTCAGCGCTCAGTAAGCTCTGTCGACAAGAGAATCATCCACTCCAAAGGGAGTATGGTCAACTGTCAACGAGGGCTACCTTCGTCTTCACGCCGTGATTAATGTTTAATGCATTGGAACTGAAGCAAGAGAGAAACTATAGAAATAGATCCATCGAGCACAGTTGCACTATGTTTAAAAAAAAAAATTTTTTATACGAGACAAAACAAAACCATGAGGCCGTTACAAATCGACAGCCGACATCCTGGGCGAAGGGTGCCGAGCTGGTTGGAGCTGGTTGGCGCTGGTTGAAAATGCCTGGGTGATTCAGTGCCAGATTCCCTTCTTTTTGGTGCCGTCTTATGCCCAGTCCAGACACTCCCATTCCTTCAGCGTGTGGTAGTGGGTCCGCAGGGCCGGCCCACAGGGCTGGTTTTATTTCCATGTAGTAACAATGTCGGGGGGGTTGAAACCCGGTTTTGATTGCAATGTGTGTTACGAGAATCCTGTGGACCCGGT